GGGTTTAGGGCTTAGGGTTTGTTCAAGGTTGCAAAGCGGTCGGTGTTTAGGGTTGCGAGGTCTTGGTTTGGTCGCGGGCCCTGAATGAAGTTTTGTTACCAACGCATTGTAACATCCCAAAGCCAGGACCAACCCTAAATCCTACTTCGAGGTTCCCAGACAAAATCAAACTCAAGGCCAATCCCAGACTGAAAACGCAAACGGCGGGCCGCCTCCTTGCAGCAACCATGTGGAGACCTCCACAAGCCCTCTTAAGCCCTCAAGCTTAAACCAAACACTTCGAATGCCACTCTTCAACCCGGAAGTCTTAAGTTCTAAGAACGCTCAACTCTGAAACTCTCAACTCCAAATTGCCAATACCCTGAAGCCCTGGACACCAGATCCTCATATTCTAAAACCCCCTGCACTTTCAGAAGCCGCGAACTCGAAATCGAGATCAAAACAAAGCACAAAACAACAAGACAGCTCGGACATCTAAGGGGTAAACGACCCACGATCTTCAGCAACTGAAAAAACAAAAAACTAAACCCTAAAACGGTGTAGGGTTTAGGGTTTAGGGTTGAGGGTTTAGGGTTTAGGGACGTTGCCTTGGAGCTCGTCTCCCAGTAGACGAAGGCCCCAGCCACAACCAAAACCTTCGGACTACGCAGGCTTTGAGAGAGTCAAAACCACTGCGACCTCGGGGTTTGGGGGTTGGGGTTTAGGGCTTACGGGGTTTAGGGCTTAGGGTTTAGGGGGTTTAGGGTTTAGGGGGTTTAGGGCTTTGGGTTTAGGGGGTTTAGGGCTAAGGGGGTTTAGGGTTTAGGGTTTGGGATTCAGGGTTTCGGGTTTCAGGTCGGGGTTTAGGGTTTGGGATTCAGGGTTTAAGCCAAGGCCAGAACCGCCACCACCGGCATTGCTACGATTTAGGGTTTAGGGTTTAGGGTTTAGGGTGCAGCATCATCGTTCTGATCTTCCGTGTGCTAGTAGAGTTGCCCGTCACCCAAACCCCGCGCCCCGAAGCCCCATGCCAGGGTGGCACCACCGGGCCATATCATAGGCCCCAAAGCTTAAAGGGATTAAGGTTTCGTGTTTGGCCGTCTTCTCCCACAGCGGCTGGAATACGTCACAAATCTGAGCCCCCGGCAATTGACATGGCTCCCAAGCAAAAGCTCGGGACACAGGACGGCGCGCGGCGACGGCTGTGCTGCCGATGGCAGCAGCAAGAGCTGCAAAGGACCACCAGGGTCAGGAGGAAGCCTGAATGACTCGGGCTTTGAGGTTTAGGCGTGAAGGTTCACGGGATAGGGGTGCTCAGAGTCTAAAGGTTGAAGTTGAGCAGTCAGATCTTTCCAGGGCTTCGGGTGTGCACCTTCAAGGTTGTAGCCCTGGGGACTAAGAAGAAGCTTGTTCAGCTTGGATTGCCGTCAGCAGGAAAGTTCGACTGGCACGCCTCTGTTTCCCCCTCCCTAGAATCCTGTCGATGCAATGAGCTGCGTCGGGCGATTCAAACCATAGGCCGGAACAGGAAAACACGTATCCGCCTTGTTTCTGCAGGTCAAAGGTTACGGAGAGAACCATGGTCCATGAGTAATCGCAAGACCAGGGATGCATGCGACAAGGGAAGGAGTCTATATAGCTGCTCAAGCCCTGGAACAGCAAACTTGAGTATCCTGAAGTGGCAACTGTAGTTTTGACTTCTCCGAAACACGACCCACATGCCATCACTACCGGGCTTCGCAAAATATCCGAACCTAAATCCTGAAACCCTTGACTCTAAACCCTAAACCCTAAACCCTCTTAAACACCCTGAAACCCTAAACCCTACACCCTAAACCAAAGAACCCCAAACCCCTTCACCCTACACCCTGAACCCTCCTAAACACCCTAAAACCCGAAACCCTAAACCATACAACCCCAAACCCCTTTAGCCCAAAGCCTTCCAACACCCCCGCCGAGCCTAGGGCAAGCACCACAGCGGGGGCTGTGCTGGACCTTCCAAGAAGTGTCTTTCTGCAAGGAAAAAAAGGGGCCCCTGAACCCTAAACCCTAAGAGCCTTAACAGTTGGATTCGGGTTTAGGGTTTAAGGTTTAGGGTTTAGGGTTTAGGGTTGAGAGTTTAGGGTTTAGGGTTTAGGGTTCAGGGTTTAGGGTTGAGGGTTGAGGGTTTAGGTTTCGAGGTCTAGGGATTAGGGTTCAGGCTTTCGGGTTTATAGGAACTCTCAAGGGCCTTTCGTGTGGCTCAGGCGATGCGTGTAAAGAGCGGAAAGCTGGGCCTCAAAGGCACCTCAGATCCGACTGGCCATACCCTCAACCCCGAAACCCCAAAACCCCAAATCCCTACATCTTGACCCCAACTAAACCAACAAACCCCAAAACCCTAAAGAACCCTAAGTAAACCTAAGATCCCAAACCGTAAACCCGAAAATCCCAAACCGAATTCTACCAAAACAGGAACCGCCGGAGGGGCATCCTGTGCAAAAACACTACGGGGCACATACAGCAAGACTCTGCTAGACATCTCCCAACCCCTCCCGCGCCCCCAAAGCCGTGAAGACTAAACCCTCGAACGCTCCGAAACCCACAACCCCAACCCTCGACAACTGCCAAAGCGATTCTCCAACACTAAACCCGAAACCCTTTGCCTTAAATCGCTAAACCCTAGACCCCAAACCCTAAACCCTAAACCCTAAACCTTCTGCCGTCATCCCTCAACCCTTAGTCCCTGATCCCGAAGCATCCTATTAGTCCCTGAACCCGAATCCCTAAACCCAAACTTCCGAAACCCTACAGCCCCCTGAGCCCTAAACCCTGAGCCCTAAACCCGAAAGCCCCAAACCCTAAACCCTAAACCCTATAACCCTTCCTGAACCCTAAGCCCCCAAGCCCTAATTCCTGAACCCTAAACCCTAAACCCCTAAAGCGCCGAACCTAAACCCGAAACCCTAAACCCTAAAGCCCTGAACCCTACACCTTGAACCCTAAACCCTAAAGCCCTGAACCCTAAACCCTAAAGCCCTGAACCCGAAACCCCGAAGTCTGCTCCCCATCCCCGGCCTCACGACGAAGTGTTTCCAGTCCTGGTCGGAGGCATCGGCCGTCGGAAACTCCTCCGCTCTGGCTGGAGCTTGAGGGTTTTTTGTTTTTGGGTTTAGGGTTTTTTGTTTTTGGGTTTAGGGTTTAGGGTTTAGGGTTTAGGGTTTCGGGTTTAGGGTCTAGGGCTTAGGGCTTAGGGCTTGGGCTTAGGGCTTAGGGCTTAGGGCTTAGGGCTTAGGGTTTTAGGGCTAAGGGCTTAGGATCTGGGGTGTGGGCTCTGGCTTAGGGTACACTGGGAGCGTGTGGGGATTTTGGTCGGAGCCTGCATTTCTAGAACATGGTAGCCCGAAGAAAGCTTCGGGCTAGGCCTGTGACTACAACAGTCTCTATACTATAGGGTTTAGGGTTCAGGGTTTAGGGTTTAGGGTTTAGGGTTTAGGGTTTAGGGTTCAGGGTTTAGTTAACCATAAACCCTAAACGATTAGGGTTAATGTCCAGATCCCTAGCTAAGGCCTCAATGAGAAGCCTCGGGCCCTACACGCTAAACAGTAAACCCTGCACCCTGAAGCCCAAACCATACACCCTAAACCCCACACCCTATCCTATCCTATCCACTGAGCCTCAAGCCGCTCTGAGCTTCAATGATCGGATTGTGACCTTGTAGAATATTATGGCTTTCTCTTGTTCTGGGAGCCAGGAACCTTTATTCCATTACTTAAGGGCTGAGAACCTTAGCCCAAAAAGGTCAACCTTTTGAGTTATAGTAGGATTATATAAGCCCCAAAAGGTTAAAGGTTACCTCCCTAAACCCTAAACCCTAAACCCTAAACCCTAAACCCTAAACCCTATACCTACTCAGCCCCTAAGATTGCTATCTCGCGGGGCTTCTGCATGCCGGACCTGGCCCAGCTTCTGCAGCACGCCGACCCACCACGTGGCCTCGCGGACGGGCTTGGGTTTAGGGTTTAGGGTTTAGGGTTTAGGGTTTAGGGTTTAGGGTTTAGGGTTTTGGGGGCGTTAGGGGTTCAGGGTTTAGGAGTTTAGGGCCCAGTGTTCAGCTTTAAGGGGTTGGGGTTTAGGGTTTAGGGATTCGGGTGTTCATGATGTTCGTGGTTTAGGGTTCAGGCTTACGTTTCAGGGTTATTCGATACAGTAGGGGTTGGGGTTTAGGGCTTGGGGATTCGGGTGTTCCGGCTTAGCGTTTAGAGGGCTCAGCTGCGTGTGCGGGTGGGTATCCAAGGTAAGTGCAAGGGACACCCACTGACCTGCCTCTTAATACGAGGGGGCCTTGATGATCAGAATTGGGTTTTGGGCTGTTTCATACTATAACCATACTCAGGAACCCTCTGGAATAGTATTTGGGTTGTTTTATACTAAACTACAATCAGGAACCCTAAGGAATAGTATTCGTAAATACTTAAGGCCTCTATGTTGACCCTAAACCCTAAACCCTAAACCCTAAACCCTAAACCCTAAACCCTAAACCCTAAACCCTAAACCCTAGACCCTAAACCCTAAACCCTAAACCCTAAACCCGCAGTGGTGTCTGCTTCTCGTGTCCCACCCACGGCGAGCCCTCCAAGGGCTTCCGCCCAAAGTCGAATCTTCGAGTTCAGGGTTTGCGGTTTAGGGTTTAGGGTTTAGGGTTTAGGGTTTTTTTTTTTTTAAGGGCCCTTTTCCGTCTGCGAGATCAGGAATCCTCATTCGAGGAGAGCTTCTGTGCATATTTGCACATCCCAGAAAAGTAAGCCCAACACACTCAGAAGTCACCCTTCTCGACGCAGCTGTTTCAAGACTCTCACTCCACGGTACATGTCGACTCCACCTCGCTTTCGCTGCTACTGAACTCACCATCCCGTTGCTCCACTAGGTCCGCAAACTCCTCATACGATACAAAGTGCTCGTTGGCCGGGATCCCCTCCTGAAAGTCAGGCAAGCTCGCCGTCGACGTGGTACTGGTAGTACAGCTCAGCAAGTGACCGGTGCCCAGCAGCTGCTGCGTATC